TTTTCAGAAAAACGTTGATTAAAGGCACAAAAAATGGAAAATTTCAGTTACCACGGACTCTTAAACTAAGGAAATAACCAATCTTTGGCGGCCATTTTCTCACTAATTTTTCCTCTGAAAACAAGTGACCCCTACCTCCTTCATTCTCAAATATCTCGACTGGTATTTAAGATAAACGGGTATCTTTTTCGTCCAAATAAAGACAAGTGAACAAGCTTTAAGATGATACCAATAACTCTATGTGCCCAAAAAATGACGAGAGCCTGATTCCACTACGCTGCACCACAAAGGTATTATCAAGTCCTTTAAGCCTTCTATTTACTTAATGAATCATGTTGGTGGACGCTGTAAGGTTAGGAGAAGTGTTGGCTCTGCTTGTATCATGATACCATTTACTCTGGATGCCTAAGGTTCAAATCCTTATCTGGACGCGCTTAAACGTTCGTAGTTTGGGAAGTTTCCCCATCATTCACCATATATGTTGGAGGCGCCCTACCTATTTTCTTCTTTGAGGACGTAGCCGACACACTATGTGTCACGGTGGAATTCGGCTCTCGTCAGTTTTTGGCTATTTTAAGTTACTGGTATAAGTTGGAAGCCTGTTTTTTCGTCTTGCTTTTGATGAAATGAAATGCCCATCTATCCTGAATAGAAGTCGAGATACCTGCGATTGAAGTAGGTGGTTTCAGAGGTAATATTAGCGAGGAATAGGTCGCCGAATTTGGGGCACTTCCAAAAACTGCAGTATCCTTGGAAACTACACATTTACATTGTTCTTTTGATCAGCATTTTTCATTAAAGTCCACGCAGAAAAGTGGTTTAAGGTAAACATAAAAAGCGTTGAGACCAAACAAAAACATAAAAACATCGACTTTAAAAAAATTGTCAAACGGAGGAGCACATCGTTGGTATCTTTGATTTCAGTACTTTGGCAAGTCACCACCCTAGAATTACACAGTTCTGTCTGCTCAATACCTAGTATTGAGAAATTTGACGTAAAAAATACTGAGTCCACAACATGTCAAGCTGTTCCAAATGCAATTCTTTACTTTGAATACTTGTGTAACGTCTCCGAATCATCTTACGGTTTTGATAGAGCAGACAGAACATTAATTGTTTTCTGAACTTATGGTCTTTGTAACTCTAAACTCCCAGAAATCTCAGATAGAACTTTGTAATTCTAAGGTAGCGTAGTGCCTGGTTTCAAAACGATGCTTCACATAATAAGTTCAATCATCAGCAGACCAAATGTAATTCTATAGAACATTTCGAAACTTCATGCACCAACCTCGAACCAGAAACGCAAATTTACATAATTATTTCACAAAGAAAAGAGAATTGAAAAATACCTATGAACAAAACAAAACAAAAAACGAAAAAGATCTACATGTATTTCAAATCAGCACGTGTGGATGGTTGGTGGGTGCTCTGGTGAGATTTGCCACTTCTTTCCTGTGAAACATATATCGTCCTTATCTCCCCCTTCTTCTTTTTTATGTTTGTTACTCTCTTGTAACACCTCTAATCTTTAGGCGCTCATATGACCTTATTCAGTTGCGAGCGCCGTAAAACCTCTACTAAAACTAAACTAAAAATCAGAGCGTCTTCAAGCGTTTTCGAGTGACCACGTGTTGTGTCCTTAAAAAGATATTTAAATGTCTTCAAAGTAATTGTCTATGGATACTTTGTTAACTCAGGTGAAGTCATTCTGCAACGAAGCAAACGTCCTGGCTCTAATCCCCAACTGGGTGGTCTTGAACTCGGTCTGGTATTTTTGTTTTGTTTTGTTTTGTTTTGTTTTGTTTTGTTTGTTTGTTTGTTTGGTCTGCTTGGGCCTTTTTTGTTTTCATTTCAGTAAAGTAACAGAGTTGAAAGAAAAAGGAGGGGGGGGGGGGGTAGGTCGTACACTTTCTTACTACGCAGCGTTTCTTGGAGCATTTGGTCAGTACCATTCACAATAAAAATGAAACTATGGTCGAGTAGCACCAAAAAAATACAGTTATTGTGCTTATTTCTCCTCCTTTATATGTCAATTACTCTCTTGTACCATCTGTAATCTTAGGCACTTATATGTCCTTTTAGTTGTGCAAGTGCCGTAAAACTCTTGATAAAATAATGAAAACACACAGAAGATCTCGGGGGAGGACGGAAAACATGAACCAGGAGCAGACGGGTACATATTTATAATATGGCGGATTTCCCAGGAAAGTCACAGGCCTCTGAGGTATAACAGTTAGGCTCTCCACTGTTAAACTTATCTCCGTCTTTCTGCAGGGTCGTTGTATCTCTTTCAGCCCGGTATACATTGTTGATATTTATTATAATCCCCCTAAGCTTTCAGTAGAACGATAGTTTATACGAGAGCGCAGATGTTGCCCGCCATCTCAAATACAATGCACGTCTATAGAAAGGAGTGTAACGGTTTTCCAAATAAGTATTTCTGCAAAAATACCCCCCCCCCCTTCCCCACCCGTCCGCACTCGCCTTCAAAACCTAAAACCTGTTGAAAACACAGGCAGGAAAATAATTTATAATAGGCTTCGACCCGTTTTGTCAGAGCAAACTCAAACTGTATCGGATACACACAATCAAATAGAAAGAAGTACGCTATAGAAACATAATCCGCAAGAAGGGAATCGAATGTGTGTTCTTTTTTTGTGTCAGTTAATAAAAAAGGTTAAAAAGAATATTGTCACAACAGGAAAGTTTGATGGAAAGAGAGGCAGAGGCAGACAGAGGGAAAAGATACTGGACAAGATGACAACATGGCTTGGAGCAGCAAGAACAACAGACACCATTGCTGCAGCGCAGGACAGGGTGAAGTGGAGGTCCATGATCGCCCACGCCAGTCGGCAAGGCACCGGATGATGATGAATAAAAAGGCTAATCATTTACTGTACGGGGTAAAACCAAGTATCTGAACCAGCTGTTTGGGCCCAGCCCATAGCTAGGTCAAGCAAGAGAGAGAGAGAGAGAGAGAGAGAGAGAGAGAGAGAGAGAGAGAGAGAGAGAGAGAGAGAGAGAGAGAGAGAGACAATGAGTCATTGCTGTCGTCATCACAAAGTCAATGTCACCAATCTGCATAAAGCAAGACAAGGGTTCTTTGAAGAAAAGAAATTCATGTACGTGTTTCTACACCCTTCTCCCCCCCCGCCCCGATCAATACATTTTAGATCATTTAAGAGACGGGTTTCTTCCCTGCCTGTCTGGGCAAACCCGGGTGCGGCTGAGACGGATACAACATACAAGCAGACAGACAGAGGTACGAAGGGGGAGAAATAGAATTTCTCGACACACAGGAATGGAACTCGCGTCTCCCGTGTGCCATAGCGAACCAATTGACCGCTACACAACAGACACAAACAGGGGGCTCTCGTGGCCTATAGAGGTTAAGGTGTTGGCCTCTCATTCAAAAGGTCCCGGGTTCGAATCCGGGTACCGACCGAAAAATTTTCT